GCGAAGAGGACAGGACACATTGCACATTTTCCCATGCGGGTTTCATTCGCAGCCGAGGCAAATTCATCGCAGGCCACCGCTTGGGAAGCGCTCAAGCTCGCATCTGGGAGGTCTTTTAAGTGCGCCGCCCTGTCAAAGTTGGCACGGCGCTGCAGGAAACTAGGCTCGTTTCCAGCGCGATGCACTCCCTCGGCCGCGACTCCATTGAGCGAGCGGGATGAACTGTGCGGCCGTCCCCAACCATTCTGGAAACTGTTCTTGCCAGTCTCGCAGAGTGTGGTAGCTGCGCCTCCAGCTGCTGGCGGCATTCATGGCTACCTCATATTCGCATGCAATCATCTCGTGGATGGCAGATATTGCTGCGTGTAAGACAGATCGCGGCAAATGAAGGGACTGTGCTAGGTAGCTTAAGGTGGATAGAGCGCTGGTGTTGCACAGGTGCAATCTGACACTCGGACTCGGCCAGCTCAGCGCACATATTGTCTGGCTGGGCTGCAATCTGAGCTTGGCGAGAATCTCCGCGCTCTCAGAGACACAATGGGCACTCGTTGCATCCCCCGTGCGTGGCCGCACTGGCCTCGTATCGTCAGCGCATCCTCCGCCCGCCCCCCGTGGCGACGACGACGACGACGCCCCCGCCCCCAGACGCATTGACGTCGGTGCCATCGCAAAGGCCCGCGCCGAGCACGACAGAGGGCAGCTTTGCATGATGCGTGGGCGCAGATAGAACACGAGCTGCACCGTTCCTGGAGGCTTGGCAAGCTGCGAGGGGCAAAAAACACAAAGACACTGGGGGGGTGCGGCGCCCTGTTGGCGCTCCGAGCCTCCCGGTGGCGTCCCATCGCCAACCTTGGCAGGGGGGCGCCCCATCATTCTGGCAGATAGCCGCAATATCGCACGCGCCAATGACAGTGGACTCCGCTGGCGCGGACTTTCTGTTGCCAGCGATGCGAGCCACCGCGTCGCGCTGCAGAAAATCGCAGAGGAAATGGCGACCAGGGGCAAATCCTGGCAGAGAAGCGCGAGTGCGAGCATGGGCGAATCCATCAATCTTCAGCTCAGCGGCGCCGGTTTGGTCTTGGTGTCTGGATTACGCATGGACAGATGCGGAGAAGTGCAACGGGCACTTAATGCACTCATGTATGACCAGAGGCTCACTTCCTTGGGGCAGGAGGGCGGCCCATGACGCAGCGCGTTGGTGGTTGGCCTTGATACCTTTGAAGTGCCAATATGTTGTCTGATGTTCTCCCGGTCGAGTGACATTCTGAGCGGCTCGAGCTGCTCGGCGATGATTGGCATGTTAATCCCCCGCGTGATTTGAATGGAACTGACGTCGAGTGGCTCCCGCATCCTTGAGGATTACCTGTGGATGCTGATGCGAGGCGAACGTGTGCCACTTTCGTCGTTGACGATGAGAAGCGCGACGATCTGCGCATCCTGGCGCCACGCAGTTCGAGACAAGGTCATCGAGGAGAACTCTCCTGCGCAAAAAAGAAACCGCTTGCGTTCATCTCGCGTCTGCGCGAACGTCTCCGACAGGTTCTCATTCGAATGCTCATTGGGAAACAAGCGAGAACTCTTCAACTCCGCAGACGCGGCCAGCCCATTGAAGAAAAACTTACACCTTACGTCGCTGAACACCTCATCAGAGAAGGCGCGGCCAGAGGCGCTTCCTGGAGCCCTGTTCTTCAGGTTGAGAAGCGGCGCCGAGTGGTCGCGGAGCCCGCGCAATGACGCATCCATGTGGTTCGCATCGATGCTGGGAAAAAACGTCCGTGACCATGAAGTCGTGCTCATGGATCGCAATGAAAGACCTGCCCCTGTCGGTCGCCGCGTGTTGTTGCCGATCGAACATGTACAGGGGATCTTCTTGCACCTCCTGGGCCCTACCCAACAGAGCTCTCCAGGCAACTTCATTCAGTGGGCGCGCCCTGGCCATCGGTGCAGGGGCGGTCGTCGGCGTCATTGCGTGATGGCTGAGAGGTTCCCTGTCGCAGAACTTGAGGTGGCCCATAGCAGTGAACGTCCTGCAAGGCGAATCGTCGTTGCTCCAGTCGACCGCCTCCTTCGCTGCAGTGGCAATCGCGGGCGTGAGCTGCGGGGCATCGTCGTGCTGGTGGACTTTCGTGAGCTCCATGGCGCTGCCCCCACGTCGGCTGTCAGCGTGGCGCAGCGGTGCCTTGCCGAGAACAAAAGCTTGAAATTGAACGCGTGGCCGATGTCCAAAAAGAGCCCTTCGCGGCCGGGGAAGGAGAAGGGCTGCCCCGCTCTCGCGCGACTGCGGTGCCTGCAAGTGGTAGACCTTGCATGGGAACAGGTGGGGGTGGGGCGGGGTCGGGGCGGTGGGGTGGGGTGGGGTGGGTGGTTGTTTTGTGGGGGGGGGGGGGGGGATGGTGGGTGGGTGGGTGGGTGGGGGGGGGGGCCTTGGACTGCAGATGCACGTGGTGCGGTTCAAACAACAAGATGAACACAATGTGCTTCATGTACTTCTCTAGTCGGTAAACGGACATGCGCCGCCGCAGAAGCACGGTGGCAACGCTGCCCACTGGTCTTCCATGGAACCTAGTGAGCATATGTTTGGGGAAGTACCTGCCACGGGCTCACGTTGCTGCTAATTAGACCACAGCGAGGTGTCCGTGGCGTGGAAATGACGGATTGTCTGGCAGATTTGCCGAGCCATCCCATTTGAATGTTGTAGCTGCCGTAGCCGCGGCGCCGACCCCGACCGAGACGGCGGGGGCCAAGTCGCGCGATGTGACCCCGTCGTCCCGCACTTTTCGAAAGAAATGACCTGCGTGTCAATCCCCCAGCAGTCGGGCGGGCTTCTTTGTCTGGGGCTCGAGTCAGGGCATCTTGGGGCCCTTGTCGGCGTTGATGTAATGCGCGGTGACACCGCCGCTAGTGTCATTGGATGAAAGCGCGCGCCACTGACCCCCATGTCGGAGGTCGCGCGCAAGAGAGACGCGGCGCGAGGAAGCCGCTGCGCCACCGAGCCCTCGAAGGAAGAAGCGCCAGGATGGGGCGCCCCCAACCGGCCCAGCGTCAGAAATTGCCGCCCCCGCAGCTGGGATCCATGGCTCCAGCGCCCTCCGTACCTCAGATGGTTGCGCGGCCGAAGGCGCTCCGATTGCGCGGGGGCGAGGGTCGAGCGGGCGATCCCGTGCCGCGAGCGCGGCCGTGTCCAGGGGCGGGGGCGCGGCCTCCGACACGGCAAGGGTGGCCTGGGTGCGCTCGACGTCGGACCGAAGATGCTGCTGTTCCTGCTCGACCACGAAGGCGCGCTGGTAGATGCCCGACACCGTTGTCCAGGGCATCGATGCGATAGTCCTGTTGGCGGACTTGGCCCGAAATGATCCGGAACTCCTGGTGGGGTGTGGCTGTGGCATTATGCATGGTGGCGGTCGTCTCCACTTGTAGCCATGAGGTGGCGAGCTGCATCTGTTCTGTGAAGATGTTAGCGGGCTTGGCTTCAATCGCGATCTGCCCAACACCTGAAGAAAAAACGGTTTTCCCAGTTGTGTGTTAGGCGGCGCGCTGGTGCCAGTGATTGTGGCGGGAGTAACTGCAGCCCGAGGATCGCGTTCCCGAGGCGGGTCGGGGGGCCGAGGGCGCTCGGAGTCAGGGGACGTAGCGAAGCGATCGATGTCGTCAAGTAGTTCCCTACCTAGGCTCTGCCTAGAAGGGTTCTTACTCTGTTGGCTTAAAGGAGTCGGGCAGTGGGAACCGGCCCGGGCGGTTCCCCCGGCATCCGCCCCGCGGTTCCCCCAGTTACGTCCCCTTAGCTTAGCGTTGTTTATCTCATATTAGCCTAGCTTATTTCATCTTAGCTTAGCTTAACTTCATCTTAGCTCAGGTTTATCTTAGCTTAGCTTACCTTCGTTTGAGCTTCGCTGAGCTTTAGCAAAGCATAGCATATCATAGCATATCATAACGTAGCATAGCATAGCATGCTGCGCTGTGCTATGCATGGGTGTAATTCCCTACACAGGCTCTGCCTAGAGGGTTAGCTTAACTTATCCTAGCTTAGCTTAGCTTAGCGCAGCATTCGCATATCATAGCACAACATAGCCAATCATCGCATAGCATAGCATATCATAGCATAGCACATCATCTCATAGTAGCATAGCATACCACAGCATTTCCTAGCGCAACATAACATATCATATCATCGCATAGCTTAGCATCGCACAGCGCATGACATAGCATAGCTTATCATATCATAGCACATCATATCATATCACATCATAGCATATCGCAGCATATCATAACATAGCTTGGCATAACATAGTGCAGCATAGCATGGCATAGCATAGCATAGCATCGCATAACAATCAATGCTGCTTTCCTAAGGGCTCTAACTTCTAGGTAGGGTCGCACTGGGGTAGTTGTTCTTCATCACGTCGTTGTCGTTGAAGCTGCTCACGTCGAGCTTGCGATGCAGCACCTCTTGAGCTGCCAACACGTCCTTCCGTTGGGTGCGGTCCCTCTCGTTAATGATGCTTTTGTTCCCTCGTGGCACGTCCTTGCCGTTCACGCCGCAGCTCTCGGCTGGCAACAGGTGTAGTGAAAACTTCCCGTCGATGACCCCTAATACTACGCGATCCGCTGGCCTCCGCATGTCGTCGCCGATGGGCTCTGCGAGCAGGTCTCGCTGGGCTGCGGGAAGAAAAGCTGGACCCCGTGCCGCTGCGCGAAGCCATTCTGAAGACCACGGGCGCCGTGCTGCACGCCCTGGAGCGGACTTAGGAATAATATGGAGAGTGTCGGTCCGTAGAGCTGCACCGCCAAAATGGAATCCGGAGACAGTAAAGATATGGACGGCCAGGCGTTGAAGAGTGTGGCAGCTCACCCCGGATTGTTGCTGCAAGCGCATGGGCCAGGCAAAACAAACGAATGGAAGTGATCCAACCCCTGTATAGGCGGTTAAGAAGTAATCATCTTGGCCTTGAACCAAAATGGCTGGAGCCAAAATTGCTACGGACGATGACGGTGATGATGCTGATGATGATGCTGCTGGTGCTGACGATGATGACGCTGGTAATGCCGTAGTTGCTGATGCTGCTGATGATGATGTTGATGACGACGGCGACGATGATGATGGTGATGCTGCTTGTGATGATGATGGTGGTGACACTGATAATGATGATGCTGCTGATGATGATGCCGTTGATGGCGATTGTGAGTATGATGGTGTTGCTGCTGCCGCTGATGATGAGGATTCGAATGATGATGATGATGATGATGATGATGAGGAGGAGGAGGAGGAGGAGGAAGAGGATAGTGATGGGGGAGGGAGGAGAAGGGAGGAGGAGGGAGGACGAGGAAGAGTTTGCGAGGAGGGACCCCGCCACAAGGACACCATGTCTCCCGAGCCTAGGGTGTGGAGGGTCTGGCGGGGGTGGGTCTTCTGTCCCCGCGAACTCAAGGCTTGGCTCGCGCCACCCCCCATGCCATGCTGGGCCCGTCGCTCCCACTTCTTACGCGTGTGACTGGTGTGAAGTGCCACGGCCCTGTGCGGAATAATCGCCGCTCGAGCAGCGAGCGGAGGCGGCAACAACAGGAAAGATATGAGCGACGGAAGGCGACGAAAAGGAAAAGGGGTCTCACGCGAGATGACACAGCGACCCTGCGCGGTGGCTTACGGGGGCCGCCGGCGCCGCACGCCGCACTGGGGACGAGCACGCGTACGCGACGCCTCACACGGGAGACTTACGCGTGTCGGTGAAGACGAACCCATCCTCCTGCGTCGCTCATATGAAGAGGAAGGGCCCGAATCTCGTCACGCCTGCGGTTTCTACGGGGCCCAAACGATCCCGATATCGCTACTGCCCCAACCTCTCAACGGGGTGCGTCCTGACCAGAGTTTCGCGGCGGATCCAACCGTGGCGACGAAGGCCTCCCAGGAGGCCCCAAAGAGGCGAAAACGGGGCAGGCGGTAGCGGTATTCGGCCCTTTGAGGACCCTAAGGGTTCGAAAGTGACCAAAAACCGTCCGCTCCGATCTTCGTAGCCTCGGATCTCTGGGTTTCCCTCCTAAGAAGAGGATGATGTGGCTGACAGGCTTCACGATGCCTTGACGCCCTCGGCCGGAGGCCGAGAAAGTAGTAAAAGGTGTGGAAGAGACCACCCTGGAGCCGCCGCGAGGCCACCCCGGGGTGGAATCAACACTGAAAAAGCCAAGCAGGGCAACCAGCAGCCGAGGAGGAGACTACTGGCCGCCGCACTGGTCCTGGCCCCCCTCTGGGTTTCCCTCCTCCACTCTGACCTCCCTCCCCTTGGACTTCGGATCACAACTCGGCTCTCCTGCGGCCACTCGGGGCGATTCTGGAACTCCAGAACCGCGAGGCGCAACCGCTGGAAGGCACCCCGAGGAGGAGGAGGAGGAGGAGGAGGAGGAGGCGGAGGAGGAGGAGGAGGAGGAGGAGGAGGAGGAGGAGGAGGAGGAGGAGGAGGAGGTCGTGATCTGTCGGTACCTCTTCCTCCTCCGAGCTCCGACTGCCCCGAGCCTCCAAGTCGGTGGGCCGCTGGCCAGGCGCGCCCAGCACGCTCGGCGGGAAGAGCACGCGCACGAGCCGGTCCACCAGGGCGAAGAGCTCTGAGCGCCTCAACCGCTCCGGGTCGTACTCCACGACGTGGTGCCTGTAGTCGCGGGTGTCCTGGCGCGCAGCCCCCTCCTGCTGCTGCTGCTGCTGCTGCTGCTTCTCCTCCTCCTCCTCCTCGCTTTCTCGCTCGCCTCCTCCTCCTCCTCCTCCTCCTCCTCCCCTCCTCCTCCTCCTCCCCTCTCCTCCTCCTCCTCCTCCCCCTCGCTTTCACCCTTCTTCTCCCTCCTCCTGGTCCTCCTTCTCCTCCCCCTCCTCCCCTCCTCCTCCTCCCTCCTCCCTCCTCCGTCATCCTCCCCTCCTCCCTCCTCCCTTCCTCTCCTCCGTCCTCCCTCCGTCCTCCCTCCTCCTGCTCCTCCCTCCTCCCTCTCCCTCTCCCTCCTCCATCCTCCTCCCTTCCTCTCTTCCCTTCCTCTTCCTCCCTCCCTCCATCCCTCGCTCCTCTCTCCTCCTCCTCTCCTTTTCTCCTCCTGCTTTCTCCTCCTCCTCTTCCTGCTCCTCTGTTCCTCCCTCTGCCCCTCCCTCCTCCTCTTTCCTCGTCCTCCTCCTGGTCCTCGGGCTCCTCCTGCTCCTCCTGCTCCTCCTCCTGCTCATCCTCATTTTCCTCCTCCTCCTCCTCCTGCTCCTCCTGTTCCTCCTCCTCCGCCTCCTCCTCCTGCTCCTCCTCCTCCTCCGCCTCCTCCTCCTCCTCCTCCTCGCTTTCTTGCTCGCCCTTGCCTGTTTTAAAAAGATACTCGTCGTCCTCACCTCTTTCGTCGTTTTCTCTTCGCTCGCTCGCTCGCTCCTCCTCGTGCTTCTGCTCGGTCCTACTCCGTCACCCTGGTCACCCTGGCCACCCTGGTCCTCCCTCCATTCCTCCCCCTGTTCCAAGTCCCCCTCATCCCCCCCTCCTACTCTCCCCCTCCCCCTCCTCCTCCCCCCTCCTCCCCCTCTTCCCCGTCCCCCTCTTCCCCCCCTCCTCCCTCCTCCCCTCTGTTTTTGCTCGTCCCGTCCTGCCCTTGTCCCTACTCCTTTCTGTCCCGTCCCCCTTCTTCAGAGCACTGCCGCAAGTCGGGGGGACGTGCGGGGTAGGGGCAGAGGTGGGGTTGGGAGGGAATTCGTTCTAACCCGCTCCTCGAAGAAGGGACTGTGAGCATCCAGCTGGGTTCGTTCCCTAACCCCACCTTGGGATAATACCCCCTCTGCGAAACCCGCGAGCAAGAAGCCCCATGTCGAGTGGTCGGAGCGTTCGGCGGAGCGCCAGACGAACGGCGGGGCGCGCGAGGTGAAACTCGCAAGCGCCCAGGGGACGCCAGGAGGCGGGATGCGCCGCCTTCGTTTTTTTGTTTTTTTGTTTTGTTTTTTTGTTTTTTTTTGTTTTTTGTTTATATATGTATAATAATATGCATATAATTATATGTATGTATGTATGTATGTATATACATATATATATATACACACATACATCGGAGGTGAGGGGGTGAGATCGAAGTGGAACGGAGAGCCCCCCTACTGGGAAATCGATTTCGGTTTCGTGTTCGTGCGTGCCGTGCGGGCGGGCGAGGCGAAGCTGCGTGGGCGGGCGAGAAAAAGTCTCCTGTAGCTGAGGCGCGGCCGGACCAAATGTCTCCCTTCCGGGCGGCCGGTGGCCCGCGGTGTCCCGCCGGTGTCCCGCGAAATTCCCGTGTGGCTGAGGCGCGGCCGGACCAAATGATTCCCTTCCGGGCGGCCGGTGGCCCGCGGTGTCCCGCCGGTGTCCCGCGGTGTCCGGCGGTGTCCCGCGGTGTCCCGCGGTGTCCCGCCGGTGTCCCGCGGTGTCCCGCGAGGATGATGATGATGATGAGATGATGATGATGATGATGATGATGATGATGAGGATGATGATGATGATGATGAGATGATGATGATGGTGTCCCGATGAATATGATGATGTTGATGGTGGTGTCGATGATGATGATAGTGTCCCGATGATGAGGATGATGATGCTCATGATGATGATGTTGATGATGATGACAACGATGGTGTCCCGATGGTGATGATGATGATTCCGATGATGTTGGCGATGATGATGTTGATGGAAATGGTGTCCAGGCGGTAATGATGTTGATGATGATGATGTTGACGATGATTATGGTGTCCCGATGATGATGCTGATGATGATGATGATGGTGATGATGATGGTGATGCTGATGGTGTCCCGATGATGACAATAATGATACTTACGATGTTGATGATGATGTTGCTCATGATGATGATGATGATGGTGCCCCAATGATGATGATGTTGTTGATGACGATGATGTCGATGATGATGATGCGATGATCATGATGATGATGGTGTCCCGAGGATGATGACGATGTTGATGATAATGTTGATGGTGAGAACGATGGTGATCATGATGGTGTCCCGATTATGATGATGATTCTGATGCTGCTGCTGATGGTGATGACGACGACTGTGTCCCGATGATGGTGATGATGTTGATGATGAGATGATGATGGTGATGATGATGATGATTTTGTCCCGATGTGATGCTGACGTTGATGATGATGTTTATGATGATGATGCTGACGGTGCTCTCATGATGATGACGATGTTGGTGATGATGTTGGTGTTGATGATGTTGATGATGATGATAATGACGACGTTGATTGTGAGAGCGATTGCGATATCGATATTGGGACCGAATGGGAGATCGATTGTGTGATCGACTGTGAGATCGATTGTGCGATTAATTGTGAGATTGATCGAATGAGATAGACCGATAGTGATATCGACAGTGAGACCGATCGAGTGAGACGTTGGTTCCCCCCCCCGAACCTCCTTATCACCCGAAGGGTGGTCGTATAGGTAAATTATAGCGTAGCACTGATGCCAGTCGGGCCGCTGTCAAATAAGCCAACATGCGGCCATTTTTCCCATACGATAAAATCAATCTCCCATCGCAGGCAAACAATCTTGGGTCATGATCGGGGGGGGGGGGGGCGAGCACTTTGTACAACTTTTGACAGGGACAGCGGGGGTGCCCACGTATTGCCTGTTGCGCGCAGGGCCAACAACCCTGTCAAAAACAATACAACCTGTTCGTCTAGACAAAATCTGAATCATGCGCGGGTGGCCCCGGGACGCCAAACGAGCGCTCCAAGACGCCCAAGGTGGCCCAAAGACGGGCTACGAGGCCTCCCAGACGGCACAAGAGGTCCCCACGAGGCCCCAAGAGGCCTCCAAGATGCGTCCCAAGAGGGCCCCTAGACGCAACAATTTGCCCATTCCCTCCGTTAAACGTACATTTTTCACAAGTTCGCCTTCTGAGTTTTCCGATGCTCCCAGACGGCCCAATAGGCCCCCAAGACCGCCCCAAGACGGCCCAAGAAGCCTCCAAGAGGGTCCCAAAATAGCCCAAGAGGGCCCCAAGACGGGCCAACAGGCGTCCAAGACCACCCAAGAGGGCCCCGAAAACGGCCCCAAGAGCGCTCCAGGAGCGCTCCGACTGGCCTCCAAGAGAGCTCAATATGGTCCCAGGCGGTCCAAATGCGATCGAAGACACCCGAGATGGCCTCCAGCTGGCCCAAGACGCCCCCAAGGGGCCCCCAAGATGCGTCCCAAGAGGGTCCCTAGACGCAGCAAGTTGCTCTTTTCCTTTCTAAAACGTATAGTTTTCACAAATTCGCCTCGTGGGTTTTCCGACGCTCCAAGGCGGCCCAAGAAGCCCCGAAGACCGCCCCAAGACGGCCCAAGAGGCCCCCCAAATGGCCCCACGACGGCCCAAGATGGCCCCAAGACGGCCCAAGAGGTCCCCAAGACGGCCCAAGAAGGCTCCAAAACGGTACCAAGAGGGGCCCAAGAGGGCAACCAAAAATGCAAAAATCTAGCTTTCCACCCCCACGAGCCCCAGGGGGCCCCAAGAGTGCCCCAAGAGGCCGCCAGAGGCTCCCAAGAGGCCGCCAAGACGCCCTAAGGAGCCCCCAAGAGGCCCCCAGGAGGCCTCCAAAAGACCCCCAAACGCTTCCGCATTGCGAGCCGTCAAGCCAACTGCAAGGCACTCCGCGCATGCAGCCTTGCTCTTCCTCGCGACGTGCTCACAATCTTGCTCGGCGCTAGTGTGCTGCTGCTACGCGAACTGTTTCGTGCGCGCTGCGAACGTCAACAGCCTCTTCACCCGTTTCGACTCATCTGCCACATCTTTCGCGGTGATGCTTCGCTGATCACAGCTTCCGCACGCTACTCTTGCTCCTTTCGTCTTCCGGTGCTCCTCCACTTGGTTGAAGGTCGAAAGGCCGACCTCCCAGAAGGACACCCCGCACCCGGGTGCACAGCACGCAAGGCGCTCGCAAAACACGCCCCAGACCACCAGCATCACGCAAACATTTGGACCCCCTACGTATCTGCCACCACCCGCGCGCGACACCGCACCCTCACACAAGACGCCGCTGGCCAGAAACTCCTGGCCTCGCAACAGTCACAGAAGGGGTCGGCGGATGTGGCGTAAGCCTGTAGAGTCTGAACCATGCGCGGGCACCCCGCGATCACTGTGAATTGGTTCTTGACTGGGACGGCGGGGGTGCTGGCATGTTGCCTGCTATGTGCAAGCCCACCAGGCGCTAGGATGGCCACCCCGCCGCGATTGCGCAGTGGTTTTCGACAAGGGTGGTGGGGGCGAGACGTTTCCCGATGTGTTTCTGCAACGTGCGCAGGCGCACCTTGCACCTGGCGCGGCTAGAGCATGCGGCACACATGGCGCACGTGGATCACGTGGCGCGTCTGGCGCACCAGGTGTGCCCGGCACGCTTGGGCGCAAGGGTGCCTGGCGCACCTGATGTAGCTGTCCATCCAAAGACTACCGCTGAACACGCTGCGGCTCGGGTGCTACTTATGTGTTGAGCGAGACGGCTTGCGGGCGGGGATGGTGTCTTGACCTCTCCCCCTACCCCCTCTCCGCGGGTCTGGAGGGGGCCTTTCGCGAGGGGTTGGTCCGTCCAATGTGACCCAAGATGGACCCCAAAGGGCCCCCTGTGGCTCAAGATAGCCTTCAAGATCGCACAAGACGGTTCACGATGGCTTCCGTTATGCCTCCAAGAGGCGCCATGACCGTGCCGAGACGGCTCCGAGTGGCCACGGAGTCTCCCAAGGACCTCCCAAGGAGGCCTGACCTAGCGCTCATAAGGGCGTAATAAGGGCAGGAACTCGCGCAGCTTCGTCTCGCCCGCATGCGCGCACGATGCGAACGAAAATAAACGATTCCCCGGTTGGGGCAAATCACGTCTCAGTTCGATCTCACCCGCCAATGCATGTATGATACCTGTTGAAAACCCAATCATATATGTTTTTGGGCTATAGGGGTATAGGGCTAAAGGTCTATAGGGCTACAAGGCCATATGTTAATTGGGCTTCTGGGCTATAGTGCTATAGGGCTATAGGGCTATAGGGCTGTAGGGCTACAGGGCTATAGGGCTATAGGGCTATAGGGCTACAGGGCTATAGAGCTATAGGGCTATAGGGCTATAGGGCTATAGGAGTATAGGGCTATAGGGCTCTAGGGCTCTAGGGCTCTAGGGCTCTAGGGCTATAGCGCTATAAAGCTATATGGCGATAGAGCACCCGGGCACCCGGGCACCTGGGCACCCCTGGGCACCTCCGGGCACCCCCGGGCACCTCCGGGCCCCCCCCCGGGCACCCAGGCACCCGGGCCGGCCACCGAAATCGGCGACCCACCTCACCTAACCATATGAATCCACTAGGACCCTTACAGAGGCAAGCTCTGATTGGGGAACAGATAGATGTACACACATAGCTACACATACATAAACACACGTGTGTGTATATGTATATGTATATATATATATGATATAGGTATGTACACACATATAAAAACCCCACATACACACGTATACAAACACATTTGTGTGTATGTATGTATACATATTACACCTATGTTGGTAAATACGTCTGTCGATCGATCGCTCTACTAACCATCGGGACAACCATCGGCACAACCGGCGGGCCAACCACAGAACAAACAACCGTCATAACATATCAAAACAACCATCGGAAAAACCATCAGAACAACCACAAGATATCACGGGACATTCACGGGACAATCGCGGGACAACCATGGGACAACGGCTGGACAACTGCGGGAGACACCGCCTGGCTTTAGGGGGAGAAGAGAAAGAGGCTCCTGGACCTAGCAAGGCCAGGATATTGTTTTTGCTCTCGCGCAGCTTCGCCTCGCCCGCACGCGCGACACGAACCGAAACCGAAACCGATGTCCCGGTTGGGCGACTCCGTTTCACTTCGATCTCGCCCGCCAACCTCTGACCTGGGCTGCGCGCCCATGCACTGGAGGTGACTAGGCGCTGCACCGCCGAAAATCTACTGTGCCCTGCCCGCCCTGGTGACACACCCTCCTCCTGCTTCACAGGACGGGAGGCCTGCGAACGCGTGAGCTCATATATGCTACAGGCTCAACAGCCGAGCCTGCCTGAGCAGGGCCACCCCACACTGCCTCTCTAGGACTCGCTGCCCACGTTGCCAGGGGTCTTGTTGTCGGTGGCGGTGCGCGGCTGGCTTGGGTCGGCAAAAACACCAAAGCCCACCTTCTCCGACGTGACCTGTAAGACGAAGCCAGGACAAGGACCAAATCGGACAAGGACAAATCGTGAATCTACGAGATCCGGCGGTTCTGAAAAATGCAGCGGGCGCCGCGGCCTGCTGAGAGCGTTCTGGAACGCTCCGAAAGCATTCAGGAACGCTCTGGAACGAGGTTAGCATATCTTATCTTTGTCCCAGCCCCGTCCGATGACCTGCCCACTCCAGGGGTCGCGCTGGCCCGCGTTCAGGTCGCGCTTTTCCGGGGACTTCATTACCTTATCGATCAGGCCGTACTCTACGGCCTTCTCCGCATCCAGGTAGAAGTCACGCCCAAGGTCCTTCTGTATCGCCTCCAGCGGCTTTCCTGTCATTTCCGCCAGGGCCTTCTCTACGACCGCGGCCTCCTTCAGCATCTGCGTAGCCTCCAACTCTATCTCGGACGCCTGTCCCTGGATTGGGCTTGCTAGCCCTGTCTTGGAGATGCGGAAGATCGAGTTCGGAGTCGCGAATCGGCGGCCTTTTGTGCCAGCGGCAGCAAGAAAGGCACCCATGCCGCTGCACAGTGAGAAAACAACGGTCGTGACCTTGCAGCCTTTGGCCTGTAGCTGTTTCAGCGTGTCGTAGATTGCCAGGGAGGGCTGCAGCATAGCCCCAGGCACGTTGAAGTAGATCTGTATTGGCTTTGTGGCGTCCTCGCTCTGCAGATACAGTAGCATGGCCAGGGTCGCGTTCGCGCAGTTGTCGTCTATGAAGCTGTCGATGAATATGATGCGCTCGCGCAGCAGTAGCTCCCTCACGCTCAGCCACTGCCACCTGTCAGGAACGGAGGAAAGAAAGACAATCACCCTCCTCCTCCTCCTCCTCCCCTCCTCCTCCTCCTCCTCCTCCTCCTCCTCCTCCTCCTCCTCCTCCTCCTCCTCCTCCTCCTCCTCCTCTCCTCCTCCTCCTCCTCCTCCTCCTCCTCTCCTCCCCCCCCTCCCCCCCCTCCTCCTCCTCCTCCTGGGGCCGACCGCCCCCCAAGCGCTGGTGACCTGCGCGCGGCGCCCGTTTCTTCGAGGGCCGCGCACGCGCCATCACCGCTGGGTGGGGCCGAGGGTCAGCCGTGCGGGGGCGCCGGGGGGCGGCCCCCTCAGCCCAACGGCGACGACGACGACGACGACGACGACGACGACGACGACGACGGCGACGGCGACGACGGCGACGACGACGACGACGCCGGTCATCGCGGGCGCCACGGCCGCGGGCAGCGCGGCATGGCCGCCGTGGCGCCATGCCGCGCTGCCGTGGCGGCATACTCGTCTCCTCTTCGTCCATGAATGCGACCGAACTTTTTCGTCGGCGGCGAGGCAGAGGCAGTCCGCACCAGCGTGAGGCTGATCGGGGCAGCCGAAAGGCGAATGGTCCGGCGTGCGAGGTGGCGAATCCTGGGGCAGCTTTCTGGTCGTCTCCTCAAACGAAACCTGGGCCAGTCTTTCCCCACCATCCTGGGGTGCTGGGTCCACGTTCTGAAAAGACAGCGCTCGGCGTCAGCCCTCCTCCTTTCCTCTCCTCTCCTCTCCTGCTTCCTCCTTCCCTCTCCTCCTTCCTCCTCCCATTCATGCCTCTGCCCTCCGCACCAGTCAACCATGTCGGCACACCCCTCATATGGTTCGTTGCCCCAAAGGGAGCTCCACCGAAGGGCCCAAATACCAGCGCTCGCATGCGCCCACCGCGCTCATTGTGGCGCGCCCCTCGCACGCTTCGTGGTTCCATGAGGAGCTCCACCGAAGGTCCACATGCCAGACACCTCACACGTTTCGTGGCCCCATAAAAAGGGTTCCACCGAAGGCCCAAAGGCCAGCGCTCGCGTGCGCCCACGGCATCCATTGTGGCACACCCCTCGCACGCTTCGTGGCCCCGTAGGGATCCCCACCGAAGGCCCAAATGCTAGCGCTCGCGTGCGCCCACGCACCCATTGCGGCACACCCTTCACACGTTTCGTGGCACATATGGAGCACCAATGCCAGCGCTCGCATGCGCCCATCGCACCTATTGGGGCACACCCGTCGCACGTTTCGTGGCCCCATAGGAGCTCCACCGAAGGGCCCAAATACCAGCGCTCGCATGCACCCACCGCGCCCACTGTGGCACACCCGTCGCACGTTTCGTGGCCCCATGGGGGCTCCACCGAAGGCTCAAACGACCCCTCACGCGCTTCGTGGCTCCATAGGGGGCTCCACCGAAGGCCCAACCCTCGCATGCGCCCACCGCACCCACTTTGGCACACCCCTCACACGTTTCGTGCCCCATAGGAGCTCCACCGACGGCCCAAAAGCCAGCGCTCGCATGCGCCCACCGCGCCCATCTTGGCACACACCTCGCACGTTTCGTAGCCCCATCAAAAAGGGTCCCACCGAAGGCCCACAGGCCAGCGCTCGCGTGCGCTCGCCGCATCCATCGTGGCACACCCCTCGCACGCTTCGTGGCCCCGGAGGGATCCTCACCGAAGGCTCACATTCCAGTGTTCGCATGCGCCCACCACACCTATTTCGGCACACCCTTTGCACGTCTCGTGGTACAGCATCACCGAAAGCCCACATGCCAGCGCTCGCATGCGCCCACCGCGCCCGTTGTGGCACACCCTTCGCACGCTTTGTGGCACATATGGAACACCATCGAAGGCCCACATGCCAGCGCTCGCGTGCGCCCACCGCACCCATTGTGGCACACCAGTCGCACGTTTCGTGGCTCCATAGGGAGCTCCACCCAAAACCCACATGCCAACGCTCGCATGCGTCCACCGCACCCATTTTGTCACACCCCTCGCACGTTTCGTGCCCCATAGGGAGCTTCACCGAAGGGCCCCAAAGCCAGCGCTCGCATGCTCCCACCGCGCCCATTTTGGCACACCCCTCGCACGTTTCGTGCCCAATAGGGAGCTCCACCGAAGGGCCCAAATTCCAGCGTTCGCATGCGCCCACTGCGCCCACTTTGGCACACCTCTCACACGCTTCGTGGCCCCATGAGGAGCTCCACCGAAGGCCCACATGCCAGCGCTCGCATGCGCCCACCGCGCCCATTGTGGCACACCCTTCGCACGCTTCGTGGCTCCATGGGGAGCTCCACCGAATGCGGTGCACACAACGACTGCATATGGTTGGGTCCTTCGCCGGGCTGATTTCTATCACGCCAGAGGGGCGAAAATGCTCAAGAAACTGGACCAGCTTTCCAGCAAGTTGGTCAAGAAACGCTGGCACAGCTTTTCGGGATGAAGCTTGTTCATCGGATGCTCGACCGTGGAGGAAGTCACACCAGCATTCGGGGACCTACTGAACCGGGCCAATCCAATCCGAGCCCGAGCCAGTCGGGCCTTGCAAGATCCTGGAAGACCCTGCAGGATCCTGCACGCAAGCCTGGGCCAATGCAGCCCTGGCTCTGCAGGATCCTGCCAGGAAGCGGCTCTTGGGCTGACCCCCGTTTTTTTTTTTTGACCCATCGGGGCTCAGGAGGCTCCAGGAGGTCCCAGTTGAAGGCGGTCGACACCTTGGTCGAGCAGTCTGAGGGCACCGTGGCGAGGGGGGGGGCCCACTGTCCGCGGGGCGCACCCGCCTGCCGTTTTCATCGACTTCCGTTTCGTGATCGGCGGCGAGCCCAGGGGGGGCAGTCAGCAGGGGCGGGCCCTTCTCGGAAGGCTCGCAAGTGCCCTGGCCTTCTGACAAGTTGTCTGGGGGGGAGGAGGAGGAGGAGGAGGAGGAGGAGGAGGAGGAGGAGGATGAGGAGGAGGAGGAGGAGAGAGGAGGACGAGGAGGAGGAGGAGGAGGAGGAGGAGGAGGAGGAGGAGGAGGAGGAAGAGGAGAAGGAGGAAGAGGAGAAGGAGGAGAAGTTGGCCTTCTGACAAGTTGCCCTTCTCAGAAGCCTCTCCGCAGGCGCGAGGGCTTCTGAGAAGTCCCGCGGCCGTCCGAGAAGTGTCCCTCTCCGTCTCGCTTCCCCCCTCCAGGGGCGCGCCGCCGAACAACGAGTTTTTGGTCCTCGGGTCACAACTCGGGCCTCCGGCGGCCGTTCGGGACGATCTGGGCGCCCCCCGGAACGCCCTCGGCGAGGCGCAGCCGCTGGAAAGCACCCCGCGGCCAGGAAGCCGCCGAGAACCGATCAAGACGCCCGAAAACCTGGAACTTCGAACGCCCTCGAACTTCCCCCCCTCGCTCACTTCCCCCCCTCGCTCGCCGCTGACTCAAGGGACCTCGGAATCCAAAACGGTGCGTCACCGCACGGTGCGTCGCCGTGCGGTCTTCTGGGGCCCTGGAGGCCCCAAGGGCCGGCCGACAGGCGGCCTCGGAGCACGACCCGATATGGCCCAGGCCGGGCCGACGGGCTCGTCAAAAAACCTAGGCGAACCCGAGTCCCAGCGTACTCGAGTCTTACGTTTCCCCGATTCAGGGGGGCGACACAGGGAGGGAGAAGCTGGGAAGCCAGTCCTGGGTTGGGCGTTGCTTACAGCAGCCCAGAACATGCTGTTTAGTCCTCTGGGCCACAGCGCGCGTTATGCCTTCCACCCTCCCCCGCCCTCCCCCCCCATAACGTAACGCTCCCCCCCTTCAGTGCGTCCCTGGCACTACCGCAGTGCGTGCGGCACCCGGTCTGGGGTGGTGGACGCGACGTTGTGCCCACTCCCGTCACCCCTCCCCCTCCCCCCCATCACGCCCGTTATGGCCGCGAATTAAAACATGCGCTCGAATATGATCAAGAAAACTATCAGGTAAGAGATCTGGGCCAACTTCAGAAACATTTCTTCAAGCAAGCCTGGGCCCATTTCTGCCGTGAGCGCTGGATGGACGAACGTGCTCAAAGAATTGGGTCAGCTTTCCAGCCAATTGCTTGAGAAATGCTGGCCCAACTTTTCGGGAGGATGTTTCTTAATCGGATGGTCGACCGTAATTCGGCGGCGAGAGAGGGGGGAAGTGAGAAGGAGAAGGCCTTCTCGCCTTCTCAGGATGCGGCGGGGCTTCTCAGAAGTTCTTGCGCCTTCTGGAAAGTGTTCTGTGTCTTCGGGGGCTGCTCGGAAAACTTGTCAGAAGGCCGGAGGACTTCCGAGCTTTCTGGGAAGGCCTCCTCCTTCTCGCTTCCCCCCGCCCTCTCCCGCCGCTGATTGATGGGGGGGCGATAACATGGGAGGGGGGGGGGTGAAACGTGCATCTTTCGGGCCCCTTTTGGGCCCCAGGGGGACCGTGAGGGCCCCTTTGTGGGGACAAGAAGTGCACCTTTCATCACCTCCACGTTCATCGCTCCCCCCTTGCGCAACGCCCGACCAAGAAACCCGTGCAGACCTCCAGAAGTGTTTGTGCACACGCTAGTCCGCAGACATGCGACGTCGTGTTTTTTACCATGCGGCGTCCTGGGAAGAACCCGACCTCTTCAGAACTGGCTTTTTATTCCGAGCCGCTTTTTGACAGTCCCGTGGCTTGGCGAGGACCCCAGGGGCCGAACAGAGCGAAACACCTCCCGCCCTGATTTGTGTACGACGCGGTCGTGTCTGGGCCTCTTGACCAGCCTCGAACTCGCCCTCATCCCCAAGACTGACAAGCCACAAGGCGATGGCAGCCTTAGGGACGCGCCCTCAGAAACAGAGGGAGCCCCTAAGATCGGCATCGAGACGAGGCGATGCCAGTCATAGGGATAGGGGTATGTTTCAGGAGAGAGAGAGGGACGCCTTCTTAGAAGGAGGCTGCTTCTTAGAAGGCGCTGGCCCAACATTTACAGACCAGGCCCGCTGCGAAGCAGGGGTGCTTCTGAGAAACCTTCCCCCCTCCCCCCTAATTAACCCCCCTCTGCGGGTGGCTGACTACGTCGCCGCGCAATCTGTCCTCGACGCGCCCGAATGCACGACGCCGACACCACCAGGGGAGCCCAGAATCGAATCGATAAGTCGGGTCGGCGATCGAAAAGAATCGGATCGGCGGAAATCGGCAGCCGAGTCGGGAGAAGTCGAATCGGCGGAAATCGGCAGGCTAGTAGGCCTCCGTTGAGAAATCGGAGCCCAAATCGGAATCCAAAGTCGAATCGAATCGGAATCGGAAACCATCGAAATCGAATCGGATCGAATCGGAGGAATCGAAACGAGCCCTGCACCACGGCAAACCCACGGCAAGACTTGCGTCCCGCGCCAAGATAAGCGAGGCCAGCACCGCGGCGAGCCCACGGCGAACCCACCGCGCCAGCTACGGCGTCCGCCCCGGTGGCCGCGGCGCTCTCCACAAGAAACGCAGGGCCGCGCGTCGAAGCCACCGGCGCGGCGAAAAATATGTTGAAGGGGCCCCAGGACACACAGATAAATACACACGAATAAAAGCATTCCCCATCTTTTTCCATATTTTCTGGGTTTTTGTCTTCCCCCCCACTTCCCATATGTTCCCATAGTTTCTGGGAATCGACGATTCATTGTGTCTGTGTGTTTTTTCCCCTCCTGATATGTTTCAATCGGGGAATCTCAGCATGGGGGAAGCAGGTCCTGAGGGAAACGGGGCCTGGACACTGGTGCCTTTCCCCAAGGCGAGCTTTTATCCCGAATCGTTTTCTGACATTCCCGGGGCCCGTGGCGTGGAGGGCCCCGGGGAAGCAAAAACATGGCGAAAAACCTCGGGACCCGTTTCCCTCAGGACCCGTGTCCCCCATGGCGATAACCCAGACCTGGGACGTCCTGATTTTTTAGATACGGCGTCCCCAGAAGCCCCGATCCTTTCCCCAGGACCGGCTTCTCATCCCAAGCCGTTTCTTGACGGTCCTGGGGCCCGGCGAGGACCCCCAGAGGCCGAAAGGAGCGACAACTCCCCCGTCCTGATCCTTTCCCTCGACGCGATCCTGTCTGGAAATCTCTCTCCCTCCCTCTCCCTCTCGTGCGAACCTGGACGTGTTGGGGATCTTCCACGGCATCAGCGCCGCCCGGCGCGCGGTGGCGCCGCCGCCTCGCGCACCGCGGCGCGAGCGCGGCAGCCCTGGGGGAGAACCACATGGCACCGATGGCGAGGCTGGCGCTGCGGCCCGAACGGGGCCTCCTGCAGGGCTGGACCTCAACGTCGTTTTCCGTTTTATGTTCGTTCTGGTTTTCGTTTTGCTCAGGGCTGGACCTAAACGTTGTTTTCCGTTGTATTTTCGTTCTGGCTTTCGCTTTGCTCTACCTGTGATCCTGTACCTCCCTGCCCGAACGAACACCCAAAGCACAGCCGAAGTCTGGCAGAACAGCGCTCAGGTCCAGCCCCGGCCTCCCGGATGGGGTCCGAGCAGCTGGGGCCGCAGAACTGCACCACAGCGCCGATGCATCGCCGTTGCATCGGCGATGCACCGACGACGCCGGCGATGCGTCGGCGACGTCGGCGTGGAGAAAATCGGGCTCCACATCGAGCTGGCTGGCTCGGGCGGGTGGCAATGGGGGGTGATTGACCTCAATGGGGGGCGAATGAAAGAGCCCCTTCAATGTACGGATGCTCAGATCTACTACGGCATCCCCGCGCCGGCTGTCATGGCCTGAGCGGGCTCCTACCTCTTCTTCCCTCGCGCTCTTTTCCTTGCTGCCTCCGTGCCTCCATCCGCTTCCCGTCCACCCCACCGCTTGCTGACGGGTGGCAATGCAGATGGCCTGCATGGGGGTGAAGAAAACGGCCCTCAAAGGACCCTTTAGGGCCCGTTCCTTCCCCCCCCCCTATTGAGGCAACCCACCATCACCACCCGCCCAAGACCCGATGTACCGCTGCTCCCCAGACCTCTCCCAAGGTGCGCCCCAAATAAGATCCCAAACGTGCTCGCGTCGAAAAAAAACCAGGGCGGGAAATCTTTGGCTATTTTCGGCCCGATTCGACCCCTGCATGCCCGCGCTGGACCGTCAAAAGATGACTCGGGATGAAAAGCCGGTCCTAGGGGCAAGTTCGGAACTTCCCGGGACGCCGTCTGGAAAAAGTCAGGACGTCCCATGTCTCGAACTTCCCCCCCTCGCACACTTCCCCCCCTCGCTCGCCGCTGACTCAGCGGACCTCGGAATCCAAAACGGTGCGTCACCGCACGCTGCGCCGCCGCGCGGCCTTCTGGGGCCCAGGAGGCCCCAAGAGCCGGCCGACAGGCGGCCTCGCAGCACGACCCGATGTGGCCCAGGCCGGGCCGGCACCCCAGGATCCCCCCCTCGCGCGCCGACAAAAAATCGGCGGCGAGGGCCAAAACCTCCGGAGGTCTGCGCGGGTTTCTTGGTCGGGCGTTGCGCAAGGGGGGGGGGGGGGAGATATGTGTGGCGGTGAAGACAAGTGCACCCCTAGTGCCCGAAAGGGGCCCTAACGGTCCCCCTGGGGCCCAAAAGGGGCCCGAAAGATGCACGTTTCTCCCCCCCTCCTCCCCTCCCTTGTCGCCCCCCCCATTGAAGCTACGCCCAACCCAGGAGTGCAGCTTTCGGCCTGACCTAAGGAACGACAAATAAGGAACGACGCCCCTTTTTGTTCCAAGTAAGTCTAGGAAGTCCGAAGGAACACCAGAGAGGCTCGCCGCCAAAAAGGTAGCGGAACGCATGTGAACCAAAAGAACGGCCGAGCCCCTTTTGAAAAGCAAGTGTTCCTTATTCAAGCCGGACCCTGTAGCTTCTCAGCTTCTCCCCCCCAGGGGTGGAAGTGAGAAGGAGAGGGCCTTCGCAGAAGGCGGCGGGACTTCTCAGAGCCCTCGCGCCTTTTGAAAAGCTTTCTGTGTCTTCGGGGAAGGCTTAAACAAATTACCAGAAGGCCAGGGGATTTCCGAGTCTTCTGAGAAGGCCCGCCCCTTTTCACTTCCCCCCCTCGCTCGCCGCCAGGAAGATTCCGAGTCGGATATCGACTACAGAATTGATTTACCCCAAAATTTAGATTGCCGTCGTTGAAAAATTAAGCCGGGACACTTTTCCTTACCTTCGGCCCCTGGGGGCCTCGCCAGGCCCCAAGACCGTCAACAAAACGACTCGGGATCAAGAACTTGTCCCGGGGAAGGGGTTGGGACTTCTGGGGACGCCTTTTTGAACAAATCAGGACGTCGCGTGTCTGGGGAGACTACGGAGCAGGCGTAGAACATTAGGATATCTATGCACATTCTATGTTCTTTTTCTAGGTCTGACGAGTATTTCAATTTTGGGGTAAATTGATTATGCAGCCGATCTACTACTCGAAGATCCCGAGGCGAATCTAGCCTTCTTCATGTGGATCAATCTCTCATGCTCTCCGCCGTCTCTGGCGGTGTGCGTTGCGAGCAAGAACGCAGCAGAGCCACAGGAAAACGCGGCATTGACAGTGTAGCTCCGCACACGTGACAAGTATTAACGAGCAAGGGCGCAACAAAACCCCAGGATAACGAGGCATTGACGGTGTACGGTCGGACCTAGGGCAGAAAAACATCCGTCAAGAGCACGAGACCCTCCGCCGATGCAAACCGAGGAACTTCCAAGGGCACCCTCCCCCAGGATGCACGAGAGCATCCAACAAGCACGAAGAACCTCAGGGCACCCTCCCCGGACGGACTTCGATCTTGTACCTCGGACCGACCGCAGCTCAACGTTGACCTCGCCATTGCTTGGACGTCCATTCCCCGTGCATTTTTCGATTCCTTGCGTGCTCCTTTTGCTCGATGGTCCAGGGTGCTCCTCGATGGTCCTCGCCGAGAACAAATGCACACGCCCGAGCGATGGCCGGGCGACGCGGTGGCGGCCGGGGGAGCCCCCGCGCGATCCGGGCGTGGCCAGCGTGCGCGAGGGCAGCCAGCAGGCGCGGAGAACATCAGGGTACCCTCCCCGAGCCGACCTCGATCTTGTACCCCGGGCCGACCGTAGCTCGGCGTTGACCTCGCCATCGCCAGGGCGTTCGTTCCCCGTGCGTTTTTCGATCTCGTGCGTGCTTTTTTTGCTCGATGCTACCGGATGCTCCTCGATGGCCCTGGCCAAGGAAAAATGCACGCTCCTCCGCTCCTCCTCCTCCTCCTCCTCCTCCTCCTCCTCCTCCTCCTCCTCTTCCTCCTCCTCCTCCTCCTTTTCTCTCCTCCTCCTCCTCCTCCTCCTCCTCCTCCCATCCTCCGCCCTCCTCCTCCTCCCTCCTCCTCTCCTCCCTCCTCCTCCTCCTTTTCCTCCTCCTCCTCCTCCTCCTCCCCTTTGTCGCTCCTCCTCCTCCTCCTCCGACGCTCCTCCTCCTCCTTCCCACTCCCTCCACTCCTCCTCCTCCTCCTCCTCTCCTCCTCCCCGACCTCCCCTCCTCTCCTCCTCCTTATCCTCCTCCTCCTCCTGCTCCTCCTCCTCCCCTCCTCCTCCCTCCTTCTCCTCCTCCTCCTCTCCTCCTCCTCCTCCTCCTCTCTCCGCATCCTCCTCCTCTTCTCCTTTCTCCTCTCCTCCTCCTTCTCCCTCCTCCTCCCTCTTTTTGTCCGTCCTCCTCCTCCCCTCCTTCTCCGCCCCTTCTCTTCCTCCCCCTCCTCCATCCCTCCTCCTCCTCCTCCTCCTCCTCCTCCCCTCCTCCTCCTCCCTCCCTTCTTTTCCTCCTCCCTCCCTCCCTTCATCCCTCCTGCCTCCCTCCTTCCTCCCTCCCCCCTCCCCTCCCTCCCCCTGGCAGTGAGCCTGCTCGCTGCCCTGTCAGCAAGGCGCTTGCTGTCCCTGCCATGATGGCCTCTGCAGTGTTGTGATTCACTATTGTGATTCGGACCAGCAGCGGTTCACAAGAAACGTGCCCCAGTGATGGGGGGAAACGATTTAGAAAAAATCTGGGGCGGACGATTAAAACAATGTTTCGCGGGCCTCCTCGCCCCCGCAATAGTGGGGGGGGCAGGGCAAGCAGACGGGGGGCTGACAATTCCGGGTTGCCTGGAAGGCCCGGGGGGGGGGGCACGGGGTGGCGATCCAGGGCGCGGGGGCCAGGGGGGTGGACGGGGTGATTTTTCAGGGCGAGCTCGTCCTCCTCCTCCTCCTCCGCCTCCTCCTCTTCCTCCTCCTCCTCCTCATCCCCCACCTCCCAATCGCCGCGGCCGTCCGCAAGGACGACCGGCGGCCGTCCGCAAGGACGAGGGTGATCAAGCGCCTCTTCGAAAACCCCTTCCCTCAACTACTCCCTAATTACCCCGTCCCCCCTCCGCAATCCTCCCCCCGCGGCCGCGGGTGATCAAGTGAGCGAAGGAGGACGAATAGAAAATCAGTTCCCCCAAAGGGGCAAAAGCAAACGCCGGGGGGCGGACGATCAAAAAAACAGTTTCCGGCGGCTGAATTCTAGTAGTCCGCCCCATTCAATCATTTTGGGGGGTCCGGGGGGGGGGGGGGATTTTTTTAAAATCGTTTCCCCCCATTAGCTGTCGTAGGGTTGCGATGCTGCTGCCAGGCCGCCAGAAATGCCTTGAAGTGACAACAAAACGATGCATTATCGTGCGCCCGAAGAAATTTCTGCGAAGATGTGATTCGATGAAGCAGCGATTCACACGAGGCACGCCCATCTGCAACTGTCGTAGTTTAAGCCGCGATGCCGCCGAACCGCCGGGAATGCTCATGTTGATACGGCAACAGCAATGAACTGTGACATGCAGTCGCACACGCAATTTTATACGCACCGTTCTGTGCATTGCACTCCCATCTATTTCTCCTCCTGCTTTCTCCTCTCTGTCTCTCGCCGTTCTCGTTGTCCCCCATCCCTCTCCCGCTGCTTCCATGCGTCTCTCCCAGGGCAGCTTGCACGCCGTTCGCAGGATTTCGGCTCGCAAGTGTCGTGAAGAGAACCACTGAAAGAGAAGCGAACGCGGTATTTTTCCGTCCCTCACTCCCTGGACCCCCAAAAGATGACGCAGAAAGATGGGGTCTAGGGCTCTGGGCGTGATTTGTTTGCGATGCTGTTTTTTTTCGCAGCGTCGGATCTCACAGGCGCGGTGACGACGCGGGCTTCCCGGGAGGCCCAACCAGGCAAGAACGAAGCAAGGGCAGCAGCATGGGCGGCCGCTCCAA